TTTCTTCACGGCATACTGTCTTCCATCAAGTTTATTTTTGCACAACACAACGTGACCAAAACCACCATGGCCTGCCAACAAAGTATCATAAGAGAGCAAGAAGGAATAATACTTGCTCAAAAGAAAATTGTATAACAAATAAAAAAGGTTGAGAAAGTGAACACGACTTTCACAAACACAATTTGGTGAAGAAGCTGAGACATAACTAATTAACTAAATTAATAATGTCTCATAAGCCCTTTTCCAAAGACGCTACTGAATTTGATCAAGTTCACATCATATCTCTCATATACATATATACACATTTGAAACTGAAAAGAGAAAAGAAAGCATAATGGAGAATTACCCAGGGGTTTCAACTCTTCAAAATCATTGAGATACCGTGAGCTTGGGAGTGACACATTTGGCTCGCCAGAATCAGAAGGCGGCTCCCAAAACTGAGGAGCTTTGGTTGAGGCCTAAAAGATAACATCAATCAGATGCATTATTGAAATTCAAATAAAGAAATAACGACCATAAAGTTTACCAAGGGATACGCACCATGTTCTCATTGAATACATCTTCAAAAGTTCTATTGAAGTCTGGAGATGATTTGGAAGCTAAATCTAACGCCTCGTCAGACAATATCTAAAGTGGTTTAAGAAAAAATACTACCATTCAACAGGTTATTGGGCAAAAAGGAAGAAACTTCTCTTAATAGAATGAAACCAACACTGAGATCTGAGCATTAAGAATTCATATTATGTAAAAGACTTACACCAAGCTGATGGAGTTCATCGGTTATATGAGGCAATGCATCACCCAAAGGCCCTTTGGAAGAGCAAGCAACTCGAAGTAAATGGACCTATTATAGTAAAAACAAGGTGCTTATATCAGAAATAGATCAATATTCAATACATGTAGAAAGGAGATAAGGAGATTACCATTAATAGATCTTTCTTGCTAATCTGAGGCACTTGATCTTGAGCTAAGGAATCAGAAGACCATGACGCCAGCGACTCACTTTCGGATTGATTGCTGTCATCTTCAGTTGTATCATCCATGAGATTTGATTCCTGCTAAAAGAAACAAGAATTCAAAAAAATGCAGCACCTCCCGTTAGACTATTTCTAAAGTAGTGTCTCGTATGTGAAGGACCACCTGCTGATTTTTTGGTGCTCATTTACATTTTTTTTTTAATTGACGGATTAAGATAAAACCCATAGACCTCTCCTCACCTTCTTCAAATTTTGGATAAATCCAGATTCCCCATCTTCAGTAGAGTTACTTGAGTCAAAGGAAGAGATGCTTGTGCCATCAACATTATCTTCATGAAGAGTATTTAGTTTGGCAATGGGAGAAGGCACTGCAACTTCTTCTTTAGCGTGGTCTTCAAACCTCTTCAGATTCTTATCCGACTTCTCATGCAAAATTCTTGAGGTGTCTAGTGGGTGGGATTGTACTGTAGAAACAATTCCCCTATTTTCATCAGGATTCATGCTCCAATTCATTGAATCTTCCAATCCACTAAATAGGTCTATAAAACCATACACAAAAGGTCCAACAGAACAGGATTTTGCTTTGTTTAAAAGCGTAGCTTCCTCGATGAACTGAGCGCTTCGTTGTGCAGTCAAGCATGGAACCTTGAGACAACATAATCACAATGAATTTACAGGACAAACAACCAATACAAACACATACGAGATGCAATTCTTCTGACCAGGAGTAAAACCAGAAACAACGATAATGTTGATAGTTTGAATACATTACCGTGACATAACCAGTAAAATGAGTGAATATACTTACAGATTCCTCATCATGACTGTCAGGAATTATTTCCGATAAAAACTCTTGAGCAGCCTCCACCAAGTTGAATATCATAACTCGACCTTCACGAGCATTGGAATTTGCCTACAGAAAATATAATTTTTGGAGTTCCTTGAGTCAGCATAGAGCACTTCTGACTACCATAGAGTATAACAGTAAGAAAATCAATGCTCATAAAAGGGGACAAAAACCGTCTAATTTACAGCAAGTTCTGACCATATCCTAGAAAAAGAAAATGGCTTGAAATGCACCAATCCCATACCTGGTCCTGGAGAAGAGATAAAAGCTTATCAGCATCAGATGTTGTCAACCCTTGTTCTGGAGTAATCTGCAGCTTCGGGCACTTGTAAGGATATCCCGGTAAGCATCTAGAAGGAAAAATAGTTAGAATTGAGTAATGAAAATACTACATCATTTAGATTCAGAAAGAAGATACTCACCTAACTATTAACATAGCAGAAATGTCGGTGTCCTCATATCCCATATCTTTCGAGTAAGGCCTGCTCAATCAGACGCATTTCCACGGATAAACAAGAAACATCACAGCAGGTAAACTTGAATGCAAAACACACGTCGATGAGAGAAGGAAACCTGAGTTTAATAACTATCTGAGGAGGCGAACGCGAACCTGAAACAATTTTGCAGTCCTCTTGAAATATCGCAGAGCTGCAAAAATAAAGCTCTAATCAATCCCCATGGCTCTCCAAAAATCGAACAGGTGATGACTTACAGAGCAGTGATCTCTTCGGAGAGACGCTCGTTCTCTTCATCATCATTAGATCCATGGTCCTTGACTTGACCTCTTCTTCCATTATTACCTCCTCGTGGTTTCTTCTTTTTCTTCGAACTCCGACCCATTCCTCAGCCCCAGCAACAACACGCCCTAATCAATCCGATTCTCGGATCACCACTACCAAAAAAATCATAAACCCCCTAAAACCTCTTCTTCTACAACAAACAATTTCGATCAAAGGATTTCAAAATCACCGATTAATTTCCCTCTTTTTATATTCCGACCAAGAGAAATATGAAATTTTTGCCCTTTCGATGAATCGTTTATATAAGTCTCAATTCCCAAAAAGTATAGACTGCTCTATAAAGGTGGCGCCATCAGACTAAGTAAGTACATTCTGATCAATCAAGTCCAGGAAAGAGGAAAGACAATCAAAACGGTGTCGTTGTTCGTATCAGTAAGGTAATGGGCCTTTTAAGAATACCCAATAAATTCTAAAGGCTCATTATATGTCTATACCTATCTCTGTGTGGTTACAAATTGTGACGTGGAAAATAGCTTTCTCACCACCATTTGACTCTTTTTCTCTCTTTATTTATTTTTGAGAATTTTTTTGTCCATTTTTTATAACACATCTTTCTATATACATACGAGAGACTATAAGACTTTTCATTCAATTACGAAAACGAGCCAAATGACGTAGACATAAAATCAATCTTAGAAATAGATGTTAACAAAATAAATCTTAGAAATTAATGGAAAAAAGAAGAATTCTTCAAATTTTATTATTTTCCCCAAATTAAAATGAAATAAAAGTACAGAAAAAAGAGAGAATCAAACCTGACCCTTAAGTGACCAATCAGAATCGACCCCGCCTAGTCCTTCCTGATTTTCCTACACCTTATCTTTCTCTTTCTATCTTCTTCTTCTTTAAACCTCTCCAACTTCACTCTCTCTATCTTCCTGACGTGACT